CATCCCCAACGTAGCATCAACTTCATGACGTAAGTGCCAGCGAACGTAAACATGCCCCACCCCACCCCACCCCCATCCCCAACGTAGCATCAACTTCATGACGTAAGTGCCAGCGAACGTTAACATGCCCCACCCCACCCCACCCCCATCCCCAACGTAGCATTAACTGAAAAGCAACAACGTGAAGAAAAGCTGGCGGCGTTCTATCAGCCGCCAGCCAACTACTAGTAGTGCGGCTCCTGGTCCACACGCTGAGCCTCAAGTTCGATCACTGCCAGACCCGTCGGGAGCCGTGCGGTGCTGCGGGCTTCTTAAATGGGAGCTATACAAGAGATCAAACATGAACCGACTAGCTTCTTGTTACTAGTAGCCATGGCCTCCAACCTAATAGCGATGGCCTCCACCTAGTATCTCGTTCCTAAGATTCCGAAATCAACACATGTTTGATGCGAATTGGTGGAAGGGCTGTACAGTACCCATGATTGCACCCATGATAGTAACATGATGTTTCTCAGTGAATCATGCGGTTGATCCAGACTGGACAACACGGAAGTCGTTATTTTTCAGTCCACGGCATTGGAAGGCTAGGAGACTCCAGAGGAACCATTCGCAGGATGATTAGCGAGTGCGGATGCTGCTCCAGCCTTGATAAACTATTATTAAGATAAACTTCCTCAGATTTAGTTTCCCTCATCATTGATACACACTCACGCCTACTGCATTGCATGAGATCTCGGATCGCCGGAAGAGCTCTTTCACGCCGTCCACGTCTGACACCCGCTCCCTGAAAGAGGCGTCGGTTCCGAGTCGATATTTCGCTCACGTCGCCCGCACACGAGCGAGCATGGAGGCCTGTAGGCCTCACCTCCATGGGTTGAACACAGCAAAATCAAAGAACAGCGGCACATGAAACATACACAAACTATACAGAGCTCCAAATCTTGTCGGGTGAAAGAAGTGAAGAAGCGGACAGCAAATCTTGCCTGTTCTTTCCGCACCAGGAGGATGAGCAATTTGCCGGTTGCTTTGATGATGCGGAGGACCTCCGCATGGGGAGGTGTCGCCATGGATTCCAATTGTTCCCCACCTGTCAGGTGCGGGTTGTTAGATTTTTATGTCAGCTGTTTGACCTCGTCCTCCTCCTCCTCCTCCCTCCTCCTCCTCCTCCTCCACGTCGTCCTCAACCGCGAACCTCGGCTGGCAGCGTTCCCCGCCAGACCTAAACTGCGAGGGTCGCGTGGCAGTGTTCCCTGCCGGACCTCAACCGCGAGTTCCGCTTGGCAGCGTTCCCCCCCGGACCTCAACCGCGAGCTTCGGCTGGCTGCTTGGCAGTGTTCCCCGTCGGACCTCATCCGCGAGTCAGAAGATATGCCAGATAGAACGTCAGAATCTCTTTCAGAAAGAATGTCAGAAGATTTTCCAGAGAGAATGTCAGAAGATACGCCAGAAAGAACGTCAGAAGTTATGCCAGAAAAAGAATGTTAAAAAGAATGTTAGCAGATATGCCAGAAAGAAGGTCGGAAGATATGCCAGAAAGAATATAGTCTTTACTATGACGACGTTGCTTTAGGGATCTGCACGGGGTCATCGTGTTCATTTTGGGTGGGGATGATGGGTGAACATGTCCTTGAAGGTGCCGCGGGCACAGTTTCGCAATTGCTCTGTTTCTGATTGTCCGAAAGAACTTGTTCCGCCAGTTCTGATTCTCATGGGCTCCATAATTTATGAATTCCTTTCGTTGGCTTCAGGTTTTTAAGGAAAAAACATTGAAGTTCACTTGAAACGCTTGGACTTGCCTTCCGTGTTCTTGTATGTTACCCCCAACATCACCACTCCAGGGCCGTTTTTGGGGGGAGGGCTTCGCAGTGCGATCGGATTGTCGGTGGATCACACAGGTGCCTCTTCCAAGGGCCTCGGGGGTCCTATGGTTTGTCATCCAAAGGGCCATGCCATCCACTTCCACTATATTTCCAGTCAGTGTACCAATGTACTATAATACTTTGTTCAGAAAAGAAGACGTTCTTGAGGTATCTTGTCATTTATGGGTGGTAGAATCATGTAGAATCTCCATTGTATAACCAAATGTAATATGATCAATCCAAGTTGGGGAGGGCCAGCAGCTTGCATGTTCATGGATCACCGGATGAGTGAATGCATTGTGCCCCCAACCACCACTGCGAAGGTCTGATTTTTTGTTGTTATTGTTCTACTATCAAACTTGGCCGCAACCCAGAGCTGAATGTTCCTGTTTAGTTGTTTGTTGTATTGTTTTTTTTAATCTGATGATTGTTCCAACATAGCAATGATACAAATTGTTCAAAGGCTTTTCACGCCTCCGGGAACCACCGCAGTCTTCGCCGGCAGGTGATCTTGCAGTCCCCGCCGCCACAAGAGGCAAAACCACATTATTTGGAAATCTGCATGGCAGTGGAAAGCATTGAATGTGATTGTACAATGTTTTGTTTAAAATATATAGGTTAATCCCGAGTTACTATTAATAAACGTACCCCAATTAATAAAAACACATGTGCCCGACCCCAAAAAATTGTTAGTAGCGTTTTGAAATTGCTCCCTTTGAAATTCAATACTCGTGGGTCCACAGTCGGGGGTGCCCCAGATTTTAGGTGTATTAGGGGGACAGCAAAAATAACCCGAATTCCCCCTAATATTAAAAACATCTCCAATCCTCCCCAAAAAATACCTCTCTCCCTCTCTCTCTTCGGCGAGACCGCGAGACCCTGGTTCTCCCTCTCTGTCCCTCTTTGTCCCTCTCTGTCCCTTTTTGGCTTTTTTGATGGTGGTTTTAAAAAGGATTTAATATAGTTTGGAACCCATGCCTTTTCCATGTTGTCTCCTTTCCAAGATCCATTCTTGCTGTTTTGTGGCCCCC